GGCGTGAAAGTAGACATTGCATGCCTATCATGTTCGCTCTTCTGTTGGCAGAACAGGGCAAGTCAATAAGTCATGTCTACAGTACTTAGTCGCTACTAGATAAATAGGGTTAATTTATTACAGCGAGGAACGCTTTCGTATATTTTATGAAACCGCAGTACACATATATGATTTTCATTTATTCAAATTTATTGGCGGGTTTAATACGAACCAACATAATGACCTGCTCCCAGTTGGCTTGTTAGCTCAGTTTGTTGAGCACTGCACCGGTATCGCAGAGGTCATAGGTTCAAATCTCGTACAGGTAGAATGTACGCCGTTTACACTGGTACTTTGAGAGCGATTGCTTAAGAAACCCTTTATCCATAATAAGGTTTGGCCTTGAATACCGTAGTGACTTAACTTATGTAAGAGCTTTGGATGAGATACTTTGTCGAAAGCCTTGCTGAGATCGAGTTGGATAACATCAGCTTGACCCTCAATGTTGAGAATGGAGGCCCACCGGTGAATGGCTGAGACCAGTTGCGTTTCACAAGACAGTCTGGACCTGGAGCCATGTTGGTGTTTACAAAGGATGTTATTTGTGGAAAGGTGCTTGTGTACGTGGCTAAGTACTATGCGCTTCATAATCTTGCAACATATGCAAGTCAAAAAAATGGGCCTGTAATTTTTTGGACTGATCTTGCTTGCCGCCCTTATATACTGGTATAACCAAGGCCTTTGACCAGTCATCAGGTAGCCTGCCGAAATCGTAACTTTGTTGAAAAAGAAAGGTAAGTACAGGAGACAATTCGTTAGCTAATAACTTCAGTATACGAGGTGAAAGATTGTCCGGGCCACATGCTTTGTTAGGATTCAAATTGCAAATTTGCTTCTTGATACCATTTACATAAAATGACAGATATGGAATTGGCGGATAATCAGATAAACCAATTTCAGGTAGGATACCGTCATCGTCCACGAATACAGATTTAAAATGATTGTTTAGGGCTTGCGCTTTATCTTTACTGGAGACATAGAGGTTATTTCTGCTCTGAAGTGTTGGAACTTCTATGGATTCAGATCTGCAAGACTTGACGTAATTCCAAAACCGTTTTGGGTTGGAGTCCAAGCTCCCTCCAATCTCGTTGTTGACATAGTTTGAATGCGATGACCGAAGCATATCCTCAACTTCATTGCGCTGTTTTCTATATGATGCCTTAATCGAGGGGTTGTTCGAGTGGGTGACTAGTGAATGCAATTTATCCCTTTTTCTCATTTGGCGTTTGATAGCCTTGGTCACCCAAGGTAAGGAGGATTTAGCTTTGGTCATCTTCCATGGAATAAAAGTGTCAACAGCTGAAGCCAAAGAAGTTTTAAACATCACCAAGTTTCCATTTGCAGAACGGGCATCTGGACTGGAATTGAAGAATTCCTGATTGATACTTGTGGCTGCACCCTTAAAGCCCTCAAGGTTCATGCGGTTGTAAAGATGAACCTTGTGAGGCGGCTTGTTTAAACGAGATGGTTTAGTGTTGATTGTAAAGATTACTGTATCATGGTCGCTCATGCCGGAATGAATCTGCACATCTGTCACCAATGAAGGTGCCGAAGACAAGACCAGGTCAAGAGTCTTACCAGAAGCTGGTCGAGAGGCTTGTGTCACTGACTGAGTGAGAGAGTAGTAATATAATACATTAGAGTAGTACGCTTAGTAATATAATACATTACATTTCACGCGTTTCTTCCCATTATTATACTGCCAGTACTACTGGCCCGCCTTGTCTGTTCTGTTTCCCTATGCGAGCCAATTTTCTGTTGATATTCTCGAGGGTTTCCTCTGGTAAACTTCCCACACATATTATTATTCTGGAACAGCAGGCAGAATTCGAACGCTAGCCGCCTTTGAGTTATAGTTAGCATTGCGTGACAGAATAACAGAGAACGCTTCCTGTACAAGAAAAATGACTCCTGGGTTCTGTCAATAAATAGTCGATTGCTACTGTAGCTCGTAGCTAAGATAGATTCTCACGGTCGTTAAGCCTTCTCTGCTGGAAAATTCTCGTTAAAAAGTAAGCAATTCATTTGGCTAATGCAGGGTCTTCGTTTTTGTGGTACGAAAACGAAGACCCTTTTTTTAAAAGCCCGAATAAAGCGTGCTTAACTTAGTAAGGCCCTAAAACATTCCGATCACTCCTTCGATGGGGATTTCTGTTCCAAATTTGAACTCATTGCATAGAAAAACAAATCCAAGAGCCGAAAGCAGTGGTTGCTGAAGAAAGAATGACAAAAACCACGCGCGAACTGTCTTAACCAATCAAATGCTGAAATAACAATTATTAGCGCTCCAATCGTACTTTCAAAGGTTTTCTGCTTTTCATAAAGGATCCTCGTTTTCGTAGTAAAAAAACCAAGACGGCTTATTCTGTCCTAGAATAATATGTGTGGTAAGTTTACCCGAGGAAACCCTCGAGAATATCAACACCAAATTAGCTCGCATAGTGAAACAGAACAGACAAGACTGGCCAGTAGTACTGGCAGTATAATAATGGGAAGAAACTCGTGAAATGTAATGTATTATATTCCTAAGCGTTGTTGCTGTTTAATGTGTGATTAACTTGTAATTAATTTCTACGGTTTTCTGTTTACAAGGTCTCTTCAACACTGGGTCTTAGGTCTTAGGTCTTCGTTTTCGTAACACCCGGATGTTGGTCGGATGGCACTGGGAAGGATGTTACAACGTTTTGGATTGAACGTTCGAATTGAATGTTTGGATTGAATGTTCGAATTGAATAATCGAATGTTTGAATTGAAGGTTGGAATTGAATGTTTAGATTGAACGTTTGAATTGAATGTTTGAATTGAAAAATCGAATGTTCGAATCGAATGTTCGAATTGAAAGTCGAATGCCCGAAATGAAAGTGTGAATTGAATAACCGCTTGTTTAAATTGCATGTCCAAATAGTGTAAGTGGATATTGCATGCCTGCTTTGAATGTTTCACTTGATTGATTGAATGTTTGGAGTGTATTTTTAAATGCTGTAAGTGTATTTTAAACGCCTGACATGAATGTTGTAGTGGAGGGTTGAATATTTCAATTGAATATTTGAATGTTGCCAGTGAATGATGATATGCGTGGAGAAAGAGCTAAGTTTGAATTTTGGCGGTGATGGAACTCCATAATATGCTGCCTTTCTATAACATCAAGGAATGGTTTAAATATTCTAGTCTTCTCGGATAGGGACGAATAAATGGAGGTCCCGTCTCCTGAGGGGTTGGGGTAGGAGACGTTAATTTCCCACGCACGAGATTACGGTGTGATGAATGTCGTCCCCTGGGGTGGGACGAATGTCCTCCCCTGGGGTGGGATGGATTGGTTGTTGTCTTGCGTTTCATACATGAGCCTCTGGCTCGGGTAATATGGGTAACCATGCCCCACGTAAAGACATTAAACTTTGATTACTATTATTGTTACTATTACACTGAAACAACAACTGATGATTCGAAAATGACTTTTATTCACAAAAATTTTCCTTTGACTCAAAACGTTTTTGCTACAGATTCTTCTTTCTATTTAGCTTTCTCTCTTGGTGTCGATAGGAGCAGAGCAAAGTAGAGCACAGCAGTGCAGAGAGGGGCAACTTGAAAATCTAACCTATTTTAATAAAAAGCGAACTTTACGAAACCTCTATGCACAATTTATTCCAGTACAAATGTAGTTCGTGTTAGTGCGCTATAATCCTACGAATAAAAACTGTCTTGGAAGGAGTTCCGAGGTAGCGGAGGTCGAACATATCAAGAGGAAACGATATAAGAGGGGCTAAGAGACCCCAGGGGTAGATTACGGAATTCCACTAAATTATGGATCTTAAAACTTCGGGCTCGTAATTACCGCCAAGTATAAACATTATGAAAAGTAACTTTTAGCGCGCTATTCAATTGAGTGTCGTCAAACCAAAACAACCAATCAGAAGAAAGGAACACCCCCTCAAGAACCAATGAGAACTCGAACTAAACAAAGCAAACCACCTAAAGCGCGGGAAAACGCGGCGACCAAGTCGTGATTGGTTTTAGTTTTGCATTTGACTGGTTGAGAGAGTGCTGCAAGTTTTTTGGACCAATCACAAAGCGAAGTAAAGCAAAACAAATGCAGTTTCAGATTATTAAAGACACTCAATTGAAGTTGACTCTATTTAACTTTTCCTAAATAACAAATCTACAAAAGGTGTAAAAATTATAAAATAAAATAAAAAGCTTATTACAATAATTTCAGGGCCTATATAAACTGCCTTTTGGAAAAAGAGCCAGCGTTCTTCCCTCTGAATGGCGAAGTAACACAGAATGCACAAGAGAGGGTTGGAGGCAAGCGAATTCTTGAACTGTAGATCTCAAAAGGAAAGCATCTTTACGTAAATTCATTTTCAACATTTTTAAAAAATCTTTTTTTCCAATTTTCTATATAAATATGGTCATTTGAGAAGGGTAAATTTTACCACATAAATTGTTGCAGCAAATATTTCAGGCAGCTTCTCAATTAGAGACCGTACATTTTCATTAACTGATCCCACACAACTAACGGAAAGTTAAAAACTGTGTATACCTCACGTTTAGAATGAACCGAAAATTTTCGTAGGTCTCTTTTTTCCTGCTTAGCTCTAAGTTACTTAGAGGAACAAAGATTATCTTAAGTGCAATGAATTGTTGTCTTTTATCATTCCTCTTATATTAAATGTTTTGGAATCGCCATACATCCATTTTAAAGACTAACTTAGTTTCCAAAGATAAGATTTGCTAATAAATCTTATTCCTGGTTGGCAGAGGTGACTGCTTTGTGAACCCCACAGATTCTTGGTTTAAATGTTGCTGCTAGCTTTTCCGCGTCACAGCCCGTGCACAGCGTTTAAAAACCATTGCAATCATTTTGAACTAACACACCAATAAAATCTTTGCGGTCGAGAGCCACCAACTCATACTACGTCGCCGGTTTTTATATGCGATCGTTACCTAGACTATGAGCAGTCCCTACTTTCAGCAAAGTCCGTCGCGCGAATAAATAAAAGCAGTGTTAAAGAAACAGAAGGACTTCATCGCGCCTGACTCCCAGAGTTCCGCACGACGCATTAACAGTCACTTATACTAACTAGTCTTCTATCAAAAATACTATTATAGGAGAGATAGGGTCAGAAGGTATATTTATAAAAATATTATCTCAGCGTGTAGCAGAATCACACGACATCTTTTATACCAATACTACTTTTCATAGAGTTTACAGTAGTCTCCATCAGGGTCACTGCAGTCCTCTTCATTGGGGTAGTCATAAAATTGCGGCAGCTGGAAAATCAGAGAGATATGTGATAATCAACACGGACTATCAATGAAGTAGACTCTGCTAAGTTTGTGTTAAGAAATACAGACAGTCCAAGCTCATACACAAAAACGAACTTGTATGAATGTGACTTTGGAGAGGGGTTGTGCTACAAAGATGCCATCTCAAAAGTGCTTGTGTGGGAACTCAAAGGTTTTATCCTAAAAATATGGAATGCAATGTTTGCACTGTTTGTTGTTTTACTTCTTTCTTTCTCTCAAGAGTGGATCAGCAAACCACGTTTCGTCGCCGAAACTGATTGTACACTGTCTGAGCTGTTGGTAAACAAAAACGGATACACCGACACGACTTTTGAAGACAATTTTTTGATAAAAATTAACCTGTTTCTGCAAATCAGCAAAGTGCTTCCCAGGAGTATAAAGAATAAAATTCAATGAACTAGCAAACAAGCAAGCCAAGCAGCGAGCAGAAATTTAAGTAGGTAAATGCATTAATAAGTGCGTAAATAAAGAAAAAAGAAAAGAAGACGCAACAACTCTTTGAGCAAAAATGATGAACCTCTGAGACAAAGTGCAATTCTTTTGACATATTCGTACTAAGCAGGATTTTCTTATCTAGTATTTCAATTCTGCCTCCAACATGTTGTCATCAAAGGAAGCCTCTTCTCATCCCACCTAATGACTATTATTATTATCATCATCATTATTATTATTATTATTATTATTATTATTATTATTATTATTATTATATTATAAACAAATACTCACGTCGAGTTCAAGGTTCCTCAATGACATCGGAGGGCTTGGCCTTAGCGTCCATTTTCTACCATTTAACAAAAAGGGTACAGGCAAAGTTAACAATAAAGTATTGTGGGAGAATTACTTGACATGGCTGGAATACTGAGCTGCACCAATACTTGTACTGCCCTTCATAGCCTACCTTCTTTCCTTTTCCAGTCTTAATTCCAAACACGCCTCTACAACCCTCCCCTGCTCAATCTCTCCCTCTCACTTTTCTTCCGATTCACCCCTTCCCCCCTTCGCTCTTCATTGGTAATTAATTAGCAGTCAAATCTGTATATTCACCTCTTTATACTCTGTTGGCAACAACTTATCAGCCCTCTGTTTCCCCATAATTCCATTTGATCTCCCACTCCCCCTCCCAGATCCTTCTCCCTCCCTCGGGTGATTAATAATGGCTGGTTCCCAATCACCCTTACTTTCCCTCACTCCCATCCAGTTTTCCCTCACTCCCATCCTGTTTTCCCTCACTCCCATCCAGTTTTCCCTCACTCCCATCCCTTACTCCCTCTCCTTCCTTAGACCCTCAAAGTTACCAGAAATTCTTTTTCATACCTCACATAGTAAAGAGCAACTCCAGCTATCAAACATCCTACGACAACTGAAGCAATAAGCCAAGCAATTCCTTTGCTACTTGATTTCCCTTCCTGGGTAGTTAGTGTTTTGTTTTCTGAGGAACAGAAAAGAGACCAGTGAATGAGGAGTCTCTTTGAAAAAAACTTTCAACAACCAAATCATTAAAAGACACTTGTTGTGATTGTGACTGCCCAATTCTCTTACAATGGAGCCAATCTATACTTGTGTGCAGCCAATCTGTACAACATAGAATGTTACTGTACATTTGGAAAGTGGGGGGTGGGGGGTAAAAAAACCTTGAAAAATTCTAGTTCCTAGAGGGATGGAACATCATCATCAACATCAAATGCATTTACTAGGTTAACATTACTGTACATTTGGGAGGTGGGGCTCTTAAAGCTTGAAAAACGCTAATAATTTCTAGAGGGAGAGGACATCAATATCACATGCATGTGGGTCATACTTTATGCATAAGAGGATCATACCAGAGATGAATGACTTAAGACTTTTGCTCTGCAATTCAGATGCACTCCTTACCGTGCCCCCCAAGGAGAAAAAAGCAGGCTGTAGGTCTTTTTAATAGTATTTTCTACCTTCCTTTTTTCCTTGAGGGAGGGTGCGGCAACAAGTAAGTTAAGTCCTCACTCACCCTGCACTTTTTCAATAAGATGAGGCTCACTGCGTGAGCTGGACTTTCCTTCCATATTGCGGATTGTCACAAAGACATCGTAGCTGAGTGCATTTTCCAATCTCGGTAGAATTAAGTTGGTTGCCTTGGCATCAGTAGTATATTCGCAACCTGGAACTTTGCTCTGGTTAACATGGAAAGTGCATGAAATGATGTACTGACCATGAGTGCCTCGCCATGAAGAGTTATCTGCAGGCTAAGAGAAACAGTTGGGTAATGAGTAAATTAATAATGTTTTGTTATTTTCATGATGGCCCTAGATCAAATCTCTACCCCCGGGCATCGCTATGAGAAGGATACCTTCCTTCCCCACCCACTGAGTTCAAATGATGAATTATCAAACAGTAAAAGAAACAAAGAAAGAAATTAAATTAAGCCAAAAGGGCCCATTTTGACTGAGTCATGATGGTAAACTCAAAACCTTGAGTAATCACAAGAACAAAGCAAAAATCACAAGGAGCAAATCAGACCAATAAACTGTTAAAAGCCTGCCAAAATGTGAGTAGCAAAAAATAATAGGCATTGGTTTCTAGTTCTGCATAATTCTAAAGAGTCCAGAAAATGGCCTGAGTTTTCTGAACTTATCACAGTGCACAGCAAAGCATGCACCAATTAATAAAATCTTGCATTACTTTCAGACACTATATTGAAAATTTCTCAATTTCTCTCAGAAGCCTTACCCTGAAGAACAAAATCAGTCAAAATATCTTAACTATTTATTTATAAAAATATATGAAGCATAAAAACTATGAATTTGGACAGGCAAAAACATCTGAATTTACCAAAATTATTTAACCTTAGACCACAAGTTTTGTACCTGAGCAATCCCTAAATTGAGGTATTGAGGACTCAGTGACGAACAATTTTAATTGTACATTCACAGACACTTAAAATACTTTAAAAAGTACACCCACAGACACGTATGCAAACAGGAAATTTAAGTGTGAAGAATAGAACTTTAAACCTACTTCCCACACTACTGTTACATTCCTGAGGCCAGAATTATCTGGAAAATAGACTGAATGATGTCTGATCACTTTTGGTGGATTGTCTGGGTCTATAAATAAAAAGATTGATGTCATCTGTTACAGCTGTAGAGGTGTAGAAGGAATTGGGAATGGAGGGAAAAAGATGGCAAGAGTGGAGAGAGGGTGATTCAACAAAGAGGAGCAAGGGATGAAAGGCAGGAAAGTTAAAGGGAGGATAAAAAAAATGAAAGAAATGGATGGCAAAAGGAAAGGATGGAATAAGGTAACAGGGGAAAACAAGGGGAGGTCTGGAAAAAGGGTAGTAAATAGGGGTAGCATTAGCTGACTCAATGAAAATAGTTTGCACTGCAATAACTTAATGTTTTTGGAGAAAAGAGAAAATTTCCGCAACCAAGAGTGGGTAGTAGAAAAAAAAAAACTAAGAAAATAGCTAGGTTTGGACTGCAGATTAAACACAAAGACAATACTATTAAAAAGACTCACTGCCTGCTTTTGTCTTGACAATTTTTGGCCCAGTAGCTTCACTCCAGTTTGATTTTCCTCCTAATCTGACCTCAAGGTAAATACTATACTCCATAAAGTCTTTCAGTTTAGTAAGCTTTGTAAATTCTTTATTGGATACCTTATTTGTCTGAAATCAATGATAATGGCATTAATCAATCTTACTAGTGATCACAATAAAAATTAGCCCTAAAGATTGAATTAGAAATATCCAACTGAATGTGGGAACAGCATGACCTGTGCATACAATATATTAATTCAAACATAAGGTACATCCATTTTGAAGCATGAAAAAGAATTAATTACTTAGTAAATACAAATAAACAATGAGAATTTTAAATCACTGTATCCCACTGACATAAGTTGAGGCCAGGAAACCAGAATGTTTGTGACTGGATGGAGGAGGGTGAGGAAATGAATTTTCATTCCAATCTTCCACTCATTCTTCCAATTCTTATTCATTTTTCCCAACTTCTTCACCCTCCTCAATCTTTAAACCAGAGTAGCATCAAACCATGTTCTCATGAGTAATTTGTAAAAAAATGGTTACAAAATGATTACTGGGAACATACCTTATTTTCCATTTCCCCTTTAGCATGATAGAGCACCATATATTCTTGATCTGATAGTTCCCAAGAGCCTCTGGCTTTCCAACGTACCATTAATTCACCCTCTCTATCAGTGGGCTCAACACTCAAATCTTTTGGAGGCCAAGGTATGACTGAAAGGCAAACACTAACCCTTTAATTTCCAGTAGTGATAGACATGTAACTTATCCTTAAAATAAACATTTCATTTAATCAAGCAAATAGGGAATGAGAACACTCAAACTTAAAAGGTAGAAGTTGCTATCTTGAACTAACACCAAATTCTTGTGACTAACTTACCAGGAAATGTGTAACAGCAAGAGGGGAGAATTAACAATCATATCTTGATAGTTCAAGTAAGTGTTAAATGACTGAATTCATTCTATAAATACAATGGATAGTGTGATACTTTTTGCAATGCCTATATCATTCTACAAATAAATGAAAAAGCACTTAAAAAAAATACCTGAACTTTGAGTAATATATGGCAGGTAGACTGAGCTTTGTGCACTTCCAACAGCATTTGTGGCTACTACAGAAACATTATAGTCACTTTGACAGTCACCGAAGGTGTATACGAAATCTTTCAGAATACACCTGAAATTTGTTGTAGTGCTGCGAATGTTTGCAAGTGGGCATCGTTTCATGTCAATCAACTTGCAGGGAGGTTTTGAACAGTCACCATTGCCATGGCACAATTTGATGGAGTAATTAACCACTAAACCACCAGTATAGTGAGAAGCTGACCACCGTATCCAGACCTCTGTATCTGGATATGCACCATAGATTTTGTAGTTTAAATTACGCGGGAGACTTGGTGGGTCTGTAAAGCACAAACTTTAAGGTTAATTTATATGTGGGAGTCTCCAAGGAAATAAGGTTAATTTATAACCATTATAGGCAAATTCTCCATACTGTTCTCTATACACCTCTTACTGTGTCGACAAGGAGAATTTGTTCAATAATCAAGAGCTTTTTAAGTGAGCGATCACTCCTATAATTATTCTCATAACCTTGGTGCTTGATTCAGAGTGACACTGCAGGGTGAAAAAGAGTTATTATTACCTAGCTGGCAGCACCTGGGGGCAGTAAGAAGCAAATCCTGAGTTCTTATTGGCCACCCAAACGGGCAAGATCAGGGCCCATCTTGCCCGCTTTGATTCCACATAAGGAAAAAAGTGCGTGAAGCCAACTAAAAAAGGTTGGAAACTTTTGGACAATACTGTATATGTCCGAGTGACAAACTTGCAAAGAGTGGCAGAGGACAGTCAAAACAATTGAAAACGTAATTCATTGAATGACCCTCACAAGTTCATTTCGCTACAAACATTTGTGGCCTTCTTAATCCCAACTCTAGAAATAAACTAGTCAATTTCTCAATTCTTATCGAATTCTTATACTTTATTGATTAAGCTTGTTTGGTCAAGATGTGGCTGGATGTTAGTCTTGTTCTTTCCTTGCATTTTTGTGGACCTCAACTTCTTCTTGGTCCAAGAAGACAGACAAAAAAAAGGAACTTGCCAAAACCCAGCATCTTGACCTCACACCTGGTCGATAACATATCTATAATATATATCAAAGACACATGCTCTATAATACAAAGCTATACAGCTTTTGTACACTTTAACCGGAGCCTACCAAATTTTAAGCCATGCAGCTTATTTAGATTACTAAAAGGTACAGTCGAACCTCGATTATCTGCATTTCTCAATTATCCAGACTTTTTCTCTGGTCCCTATTTTTCACGAATATTTATCAGTCATGATCAAGACCCGTAGCCATATTCTTTTTTATTAAAACTACAGCATTGAAAGGTGAAGTAAACAAGGCAGTGTTCTTCTTTAAGACAAACTGAACTGTACTTCAACACCTTAGGCCAATCTAAACACATTTTTCATTAATTTTAATTGTTAATACACACATGTAGAGGTATTCAATGACATGTAGGACTGTGACCATAGGTCTTGTTTCAGGATTAAATGTTGCTTTCTTAATTTAATCAGTTTTCGTCCCTCATTAATATTCATATTCTTGATTATCCAGACCCTAGATTATCTGGACTATTTTGTCTAGTCCCAATGAGTCTGAGATTTGACTGTATTTATGTGCTGGTGGAACACATGTACATTGACTGTCTTAATATTTCAAATGAAGGTTAATAAATTTGAAACAGCAAACAAACCAACAAACAAGGGAATAGAGGCTGAAAGTTTCTAATAAAAGAAACTCGGCTGGGGTGCTGCGTTGGTGGGGGTAACAAGGTAATTTGGTTATATCAACTGAGTTGAAATTGTAAATTGGCCACGTGATGTTTCGAGCGTTAGCCCGAAATGAAGGGCTTAATAAATGCTCCAAACGTCAGCTTTTTTATTGGTTACAGTGGTCAATTTACAATTTCAACTTAGTTGATATAAACAAACCAACCAACAAACCAACCAACAAACCAACAAATTCACAAGACGCTGTGTAGTGAACACCAAGCACTCATGAAGTGGAACTTCATTTTTTTTAAGTCAAAACTTGACTTTATTTTAGGTTGTTGAAATGTCAGCCACTGTTGTAACTGATATTAATCTTTTTCAGGACCACTCTCACTTAAACAATCAGAATACATGATCAACTATTACCTCTAGGTTTAAATCATTTACTGTACGCTCATTCTCCATATTGATCGCCATACATTTCCTAAGACACTGACTAGGAGGATTTGTCTAACAATCAAGAACTTCTTTAGTTGGTGATTATTTCCTGTATTCTAATGACCTTAATGTGTGATTCAGGGGGGATATTGTAAGGAGAAATTAGATGCTAATCACTTATAGGGTTTAAAGGGATAAACATTCTTCCTTTATTTGTTAGTTAGATTTGGCTTTCAAGGTCTTTCTTTTTGAGATTTGTAGGAGTTCTGACATTTCACCGGTATCTTACTATCTATAAAGTACAGTATGTTCATTTGAGACCTTGTCAGTTGATCGCCTTAGACTTAAAGAAGAATACCACCCTGAAACAAGACATTATGGTCTACATCTTCACATTCCTACATGAATACCTATACATGTGTGTATTAACAATCAAAATTAATGAAAAATGTTTTTAGGTTGGTTTAAGGTGTTGAAGTAAGTCAGTTTGTCTTAAAGAAGAACACCACCTTGCACTTACAAGACCCCATTTACTTCATATCAAATAACTTATTAAATTATGTACATAAAAGTGAAAGTAAACCAAATTGTTACCTGCCACAGTAACTGAGATATTCACTCCCTGGGATTTGTTACCAGATATTAGACCACACCAGTAAAATCCATTATCAAGTGTACTTGTATTCAATACTTGCAACTGAACTGTTGACTTATCAATTTGTTTTATCCTGTCAAACAACCACTTGTCATTGTGCTTCCAGGAGACATTCAGAACTTGTCCAAATCCAGATCTGACAGTACAGTTTAACTGAAACACAGAGCCCCTTAAGGCAAAGTATGAATTGTTGACGCTCCTTGGATAAATTGTTATATGCGATGCTGAAATACAAAGCAGTATATTAAATTTTTTTTTCGCTAAATTTATAATTATAAGTTTCTTTGAGATTACACTTGCCATTAAAGCCAAGAAAGTATATATGCGTATGATGAGCGATCCTCGCAGTAGAGAAAGTATATATGCACTAATCTGACCAAGCATGAGGTCAAGATGAGACAGATATTGGCCAAGCTAGTTCATTATATTCCGAGACCAAGACGAAGTTGGGGTCCACAAAAAAGCAAAAACGAAAGGTTACTATTCAGCCACCATGAGCATACAAACTTGGTCAATAAAGGATTTATTGACATTCAAGTTGTTCAAAAGCAAGATACGCCAACTCAATCTAAGTGAGGTCTTGGACGATGGCTGCACACGCTGTAGCCTCTGCTCCACTTGAATTTTACATTTTTTTAATTACAAATCCCCTAATTAGTTAACTATAGATTTTCTCTTAGTTTTAATATGCATTAACTACTGTAAATAGCTCCTAGTCTTTTTTCTTTTTTAGTGTCCCCAAATTAGTAAGGGATTATTCCCCAGCTGGAAGGTTCTTGACACTTTGAATAAAGTTTTGCAACTATTACTACTACTTTATTATATAGCTAAAAGATTTTGCTTTGACAGGAATCCTGTGTCCTTGCTTCATCTTGCCTGTACATTCCCAGCTATATAATGAAAGTAGCTATCACTTAGTTCAGGAAAATTTAAATTTACATTTAAACTAACTGCATGACATGCTAATATTTCCTTTGTCATTGGCAAAACTAGTTTTATCTAACCTTGTCAGTTCATCCCCAACTAACAATCAAAGACAAGTCTAAGGCAATTAACTGACAAGGTCTCAAATGACATACTTTAACTAATGTAAATTGCATGGGCATTATAATAATGTGTGAAAAATAGATGCAAATTAGGATTTTCCTGAGTATAAGGTAAATGATAAATAAATAATAAGCAGACAAAAGCACTACATAGAAAGTAACAGCATTTTTCTACAAAAAGTTTTAGTAACAGAGAACACATTCCATCTCTTTAACATTTCTGAACATCATCAAGCTAATAGTTTTCAAGAATGGAGAGATTTTGAAAGTGTAAATTGCTTTAATAAAGAGGATACCCAACCTAGATTGCTCTTGAAAAAGTGTGCTACACTCTCTTATGTGCCAGAAATCAGGTTGTAAACAAGCTGGACGTTCATACGCCGCTAGGCTGAGGCTTTTATTGATATTGCTATCGACACTCATACACAGCGTAAATCACTATTGGATGAGAACCTGTGAAAAACCTGTGAACAACGTGTGAAATATTATCTGACACTGAAACACCCTGTGAAAAAACCTGTGAATTTTGCAAGGGCTAAATTTTGGTGAAAAATCACAAAATTTAGAACCTATGAAAAAA